TTCTATCACACTACAAATCCAGACAATTGGAACCACAAGTGCAAATTCACAAATTATAGCAAATAAACGGTAAAAGATGAGAAATAAAAATGACACACGATTTGTTTAGGCAGTTCCCCCTGTCGTCCTCACGTGGGGTACTCTGCCCCTAATTATAGAATGTAGAATTAGGATAATTGCTATTATGATTGCAAAGTTTGTACAAGAGATAGAAAATAGTCACCACAATTCAAACCTAATATGTTGAATTGAAAACTAAGCCCCTCTCTTCCCTTGATTCAATTTGAATCAAGTATGTCACCAATCTTCGATAGACCTCCAATTTTAGCTACCATGTTGAGAACCCAAACCGTTTCTCAAACCCTCTGCTCGGCTGATTTAATCGCAAGATGGTGACCCCAATTCTTCCTTCACAATCCTCCAATTGTAGCTACCTTGTCGAGCGAACCCATTGTTCCTCAATCCCTTAAGCACAACTGAATTTGAAGTAAAGAATTGTCAAAAATCCCCCAAATCCCAATGATCTTGGAGGACAAAACCCTAAGATTTTATTCAAGAAAAACCCACAATTACTCAACCCGAACAAGATCGCAATCTTCTACTTCAAACGTTATCAACACACGCTCCGTACCTTGATCGACAAAAATTATTATGTGTAGTTGTTAATGGATGAGTGAGAGGTTAAAGATGATGAGTACTTTGTGTATCTATTTCACTTTTCTTGTTCAAAAAACCAAATGATAGAACCTTACAAGATTATATATGTTATCTCAAGTCAAAACCCAAACTGTCAAGCTGAAAAAAAGATTTAACGAGTGAACGATCGACCTATGCCAAAAGGGGACTCGACCTGAGCATTCCCGAGAGAGCCAGAAGACAAAGTGTGTGATCCATGCGTCGACCACTCCAGGGCTGTTTTTCGATGCATAGTTCCTAAAACTACTTCCATGTTGAGTCGACCACACAGTCGACGTGAGAAAACCCGAGACTTCCCCAAGGCGCAACCTTAAATCCATGTGTCGACCGCTCTAGGGCTATGCGTCAGTGCATAGTTCCTAAAAATTTCTTTCAAGTTGAGTCGACCACACAGTCGACGTGAGAAAACCCAAGACTTCCCCAAGGAACAACTTTTAATTATGCGTCGACCGAAGCTTTCTTTGAGTCGACTCAAAGCATAAAAATTTCCAAAAATACCAATTCTTGAAGATTTTTCATGCTTCCTTGTCCACCATATCATCTAGCAACATTTTCAACATATAGTGGAAAGTTTTGACATCATTGAAACCCTTATTGAAGGTAATTTTCCCTCACAGATCTCTCTACACGGTTAAGTGTTTGATTTGAAAATCAATAACAGAGCTGGAGCTCTGATGCCAATTGAAGGTTAAGAAAAACACAAGAAATGGGGGGTTTGAATTGGAGTTTTCAAAACTATTTCTTTTGCAAATGCTTCTCACAACAAACAATGATAACTAAGCAAGAAATAAAAGTGACATGTTTGGTTTATACAAGTTCACCTTAGAAAAGGCTACTCTTGTCCACCCACCAAGGTGATTATGCCTTAGAAAAGGACTTAATCCAATAATCTAGAAATGTTACAACAATGTCTAAGTTTTTAGAAAAACCCCTTAGCCCTCTCAAGTAATTATGACTACAACTTAATCACTTAAAGAATCAAATCTATTAAGATTTACAATTAAACAATGTTTACAAGAGTGCTTCTAAAAAGAAGATTTAACACCACAATGAAGAACAAATGTTTAGACACAAATATGATCAAAAAATCTTGTGCATACAATAATGATAAAATAACACAACAATGGGCAAAAGCTCTTGTCTTATAGAGAATGAATAGTTAACATAAAACTAAGCAACAACTCTTTTTGTTTTTGAATATTTCTTTGAGTATTTTCTCTCTTTGATTTTCTTTCACTTTTAATGATTTTCCTTTGAATAGTTTATTCATTCATCATTAGTCTCCAATGAAGTAGCAATCCCTTTATATATGCTGAGAAAAGAAGACCATTGGAAAATGTCACATTGATCAAGTCGCCTACTATAATGATAGAGTATGATCGTGGGAGACAAATAACACATAAAAACTTCCTTCGTACACTTCTTTCTCCATAAATAACAGAAAAGGCTTTGTACTGTTGTACTGTTTACTTCTAGTGAAAGTTTCTGATCTTTTCTTCTATTGAGATACATCTGATCTTTTCTTCTATTGAGATACTTCTGATCTGAAGTAGGAGAGATAGAGAGAGAGACCTTAAAAGAGATCATGTCTTTGTTCTTTAATATTATGATGTAATGCTTCTGATAAGAAGTGAATAGTATTCTAGAAGATGATTCATTGTAATGTTTTCAAATGTCTCAGAGGCGTTCAGAATCAGAACCTAGTCTTCAGGCATGTAGCAACAGCTTATCTGACAAACAACTTCTTGATATTTGGGCTGAAAACGAAAGCTTTATATAAAAAGCACTTTATCTTGATTTCTTATCGTTGAAGTAAAATCTTGATATCTTATCATTGAACCAAAATCTTGATATTTGATATGCACATGAAGATTCCTTTTCTAGACACACTCGTTACTTCTGAAGCAACAACTTATCTGAGAAGTATGTGTGGATCTGTTTATGGAAAATATTCAGCATTCATTAGAACTATTGATGTTTCATCAGAACCGGATGAAATAGTCTTTCTGATGTGAGCTAAACACATTTATAATGATTCTTCAGACAACAATCCTGAATCAAATAGAATGTTTTATCTGCACAAAAGAACTATTAGAACACAAAATTGTTACATATAAAATATATGCATTGTCATCATCAAAACTCAGAGATTATCTACAGAAACAAATCTTGTTCTAACAAAGTGTAAACTTTGTTTAAGGTCAGTTATTCGTGCTCTACTTAAAAATCAACTTAAACCTATCAAACATGTTTTTTCTCCTCCGTGTGGCTAAGAAACTTTTTTCACAAACTAACAATTTTATCCATTATGATGCGACATAGGAGCAAACACTTCATTTCGTCCATGTGCAATGAAAAAGCAATGCTTAATCGCTCGAATATGACCTAAATTTCGTTCCCTAAAATCAACCAACAAACACAATTTTGCTATCCAGAACTACATAGCTTTGAATTCCTCATCGCTCTGGAGGATACCTAGGAGCAAGATTCACAATCTTATCAAAAACTCTAATAAAAAACTTATTTTTCCCTTTTATTTTTTTGTGCAAATACGCCATAATAATGATAAGAAATCAAAACTTTTAAGCTAGACAAGTCAACATCATCCTTACCATCTTCTGCAAACAATCTTTCTGAAGCCACCGATTCGTTAGAAGAGAACTCCCTAGTCTCAGCCAGATTGTTCCTATCGAACTGATTCAACCATCTATCCTCTGAATCCGAAGAAGACACCTCCGCCATTGAAGTATATTTCTTTTGGTTCAGGGTAATACACAAGGGGCCGTGAGAGTCTTCAGAGATCTTGATACTAAACTCCTCATAATCTATCAAAACTCTAAAAGAATCGTTCAACACCGCCACACTTGTAGTTCTCACCATAATGCGAGCAATATCCATGTTTTCCCCCTTCAAGGTACTCTTATCTGCACAAACGTAAACTCCAACTTTATTGGCCACAAGATTACAAAATTGAAGTTCCAAGCGTGATAAGGAATCCCGTAAATCCTAAACCAGGTTACTCTTTCATTGTCAACATCGTTTTTCTCCCATGCCCTAATTTCAGAAAATCACTGCCTCCACCAAGTTTCTCCTTCCCTAATCAAGTTATCAATCTCGCCTTCTTTAACCTCCTCCAACAAACATAGATTAGCCTCCAAAGGTGTTACTTTTATTAAGAAGTATCCCTCCATCTCAAAGCAAGTCTGAATGTTGAATGACATTCCATATTTTAGAACAACTCCCTTAAATGTCTTATTCAACCTGGCTAAATCTTCAACTTTAAGAGAATATTGTAGAACTGTCTGAGCATTCTCGGAACCAGAAATTTTTGCCGAGCTATTATTTCCCACAACCTCTACGAATGATTTAAAACTCACCTTGCTAAGATCCTTTTTACCGCCCCTGATCTTCGTTCTCATGATTGTCGCCTGACCTACCTTACACCTCGAGTTATGTGGCACAAAAATAATGAGATATTAATACAAAAATTTGAGAGTATATTTTAATAAATTATAAAATGAGGGTCACTACTCAATTCTGTCTAACTTTTCTTTTCTATGAATTCAACTGCCAAAGCTGAATTTGGTAGTTTTTTTATTTTGACAACAAAGTATGAATTTTATGGTAGTTGCTTTATATTTAGATTGATATCTCTTTGGACTTTTTCAGTTGACATGCTTGTTTCCGTTCGAAAACATTTTTTTTTTATTGAGTCCACTTAAATAAATAATTTATTTTTCCCCATCCTCTAAACATTAATTGGATAAAAATTAAGGAACTGAATTCCACATGAAAAGATATAATAACGGATTGAAAATTCAAAATTTTAAAACTAAAATGTTGAAAAATTTGAAGACTTAGTTGGTATGGCCAAACCCAAAGAGACATAAAAATCAAAGACATTTCTAAAATGGAGCACTAGCCATTGCATATATTTGACAAAAGTATAAAAAAAAAAAAAAATAGTGAATGAATAGAAAAAGCCCATACCCTTTCTTGCATGTAAAGTAGTGTTGTGAAACCATAATTTTACTACGTCGCATGTTGAGATTTGAGACCCAAGAAAGAACAAGCATAAGCTTGAAATTTTCAACAGAGACTATGTCAATTAATTAAACTGGTCAACCATTGTTTTCTTTATTTGATTTTGACCCTTCCTTACCTATCCCATTGGTTCTTAGCTATATAAATATTCATATGTCATACCACCTTACACATATAAACATTCATTTCAAACCTTATACATATACACTATCCTGAACAACCTTACCAAGAATAACATTAGAATCATAATCCATATATTCATGGCTTCAATATTACAAACTACAGTTCTAACTTGTTGTTCTTTAACATCTTCAAAGAGAGTTATTAATGCAGCTATCTATCTTCCCAAACTCCCAAATATTTCATTGCCACCAACAAAGATACAAACCAACAGAAAACAACAACTTGATCATCAACCATTAATACTAGAAAAAAACAACTCACAAATATTGCACGATGAACAGAAGCAGCAATATTCTAACTCAACCGTTCAACTCTATGCAGTTTTAGAAGCTGTATTGGACAGAGTTGAAATGCATCAAAACATTGGCGAACAACGTAACAACTGGAATACTCTTCTGCTAAACTCAATAAACATGATAACTTTAACTGCTACAACCATGTCTGGTGTTGCTGCTGTCACAAGTGGGGAAGGTGCACCACTTTTGGCTTTGAAACTATCTTCTGCTCTTCTGTTTTCTGCTGCAACTGGTTTATTGCTTATCATCAACAAAATCCAACCCTCTCAACTCACAGAGGAACAAAGAAATGCTACAAGATTGTTTAAACAGCTTCAAAGACAAATCCAAACCACTATTGCAATAGGAAATCCTAGTGAGGAAGATGTCAAAGATGCAATGGATAAGGTTTTGGCACTTGACAAAGCTTACCCACTTCCATTATTAGGAGCAATGCTTGAAAAATATCCAGCAAAATTTGAGCCTGCTGTTTGGTGGCCTTCCAACAAAGGAAAACCACAAAGCAAGAAAATGGGGAAAATGAAAAATGGATGGAGTGAAGAATTAGAAATGGAAATGCGGGAAGTTGTTGAAGTGATAAAGAGAAAGGATGCCGAAGATTATAACAGACTTGGAAACATAGCGTTGAAGATAAACAAGAGTTTGGCAATTGCAGGTCCATTACTCACAGGCATTGCAGCTGTTGGATCTACATTTATAGGCAATAATGGTAGTTCTTTGGCTGCTTTTGTTCCTCTCATGGCTGGTTCATTGGCTGCTGCAATTAATACTTTTGAGCATGGTGGACAAGTTGGAATGGTTTTTGAAATGTATAGAGCTTCTGGTGGTTTTTTCAAGTTGTTAGAAACTTCAATTGAATCAACCTTGGGAGAGAAAGATTTAGAGAAAAGAGAAAATGGAGAGCTTTTTGAAATGAAAATGGCTTTACAGTTGGGAAGAAGTGTGTCAGAGTTGAGGGCACTTGCATCAAAATCAGCTTCTTTTCGAATGGAAGGTGTTGACATAGATGAATTCGCCAGCAAACTTTTTTAGATAATCTTCATAACAAAACACATTCTTTTGTTCGTTCATGTATAGATGTCACATTCTTTTAGGCATATAGAAAGCAAATGTAAATGTAGACAGTTGAGATCTGATTTGATCCGCATATAGAAATTATGACTTCATTATGTAATTTTGTAGGAGAATGAACTTCTGATTTGATTTAATTTAGATATGTATTTTAGCATGTATAAATTAAAGTGTTTGATTATAGTTTAAGAAATATGATTGAAATCAATCTATTGAGTTTTTTAATTAAGAGCTATGCTTCAGAATGATTCAAGTAATGACGAAAGTAGAATTTCAAAATATTTTGAAATTTTGTAAAAAATAGATCCTCTTTCTTTGATTCAAATCATACAATTTGTCTGACTTGAATAATACATTATTTTTCTTTCTTTTTGTATTATATCTCCAACACATATAAATACTATTTTCTCTCAAAATTTTTACAATGTTAGAAAATATATACTTCCAATATTAATTTTATTACAAAAAAAAATATTATTTGTACAAATGACAAAAACCCCTCACAAATAGGAAATTTGTAAAGAGATTGGTCCTCTAGCAAAATAGGGGGTCTCAAATTTATTTGCGACGGACTATACATGTGGGTATTTTGTTAGGGGTTAAACCCCTCGCTAAATACAATTTGTTTTTTACAACCTGTAACGTGCATGCACAGACGCAAGTTATGGTAGCTGAGTGCGTCAGAAAATTTGCTTGGAGTTAAGTCCGTGACAAAATAAATGCTTTATCATTTGCGAGGGGATAAATCCCTAACAAATTGTCAAAATATTTATAAAAAAATTGATATTAATAGACTAAAGCTTTATAAAATTGTATTATTATAACAAAATTAATATAATAAATATAATAATTAAAGTTAATCAAACATAATAAAAATTAAAATAAAACTTCATACAAATTACAATAAAATAAAGTTCTCAAGTTCAAAATAGTTAACAAAGATTATTTCATATAAATTAAACAACATCAAATTTTCAAACATATTTATTATAAATATTATTTTTCAAACACATTTATTATAAATTCTGTTTTTTTAAATATATATATATATATATATATATATATATATATATATATATATATATATATATATATATATATATATATATATATATATATATATATATATATATATATACACTATGTTTCAAATATATTGTTTTTTCATTTATTTTAAAAAAAATAATAAATAAATCAAATATCACATATATCAAAAAATAATAATTTTTTTCAATTATTCTATATATAAATAATTTTGAAAATAATAAAAAATATCATTTTCAGTTTATAAACCAAATATCACAACAAATATATACACAAATATATCTATAAATAAATCATAAAACAAAAATTTTATAATAAGAACCTGAAATTGATGAAAAATATTTTCTTGAAGTTTCTCCAAAATTTAGCTTCCTTTAAATATATCAATTAATACCTGAAATCAAAAATTATATTTCACACTAACATTGAAAATAAACTAAATACATAACAAAATAATTTAATATATTTACCTGAAATATTTATGTGAAGATTGTGATTGAAATTTTAGGTTTAATTTGGGGAAAGAATGAGAAGAGGAATACTGCAATATTGGTATGGCTTGATGGAAGAGAAGAGAAAGATATGAAACATTCAAAATTATAACAAGGAATAAATAAGTGAAGCGGTGGAATGGTGTTAATTTTAGCAAGGGGTAGCCCCACGGAATTGAAACAGTCAAACCTCGCATGGGGAGCCCGTCGCTAATTTCTTTCTTGGAAACAACCCCCTGCACACACAGTCTGCACACTGTAATGACTAGACTAAAGTTGTCTAACTGGCATGGGGTAGCCCCTCGCTATTGTCATGTTGAAAGTTAGTTTGGGATTGTCCGTCGCAAAATGCAGGGGCTTGCGCACCCATTTATTTTTCCAGGAGTGTGCCCCTCGCAAATCAATATTTTAAAATTCAAAATTTGCCTCTTTTAATTTTGAGAGGGGTAACCCCACGCAATTTATTTTTTATTTTTTCCTAATCTACACTTTGCGAGGGGCTATGCCCCAAGCAACCTTTTTTTTCTCTCAAGGGTTTAACTCCTGGCTAAATCCCCTGGAAAATTTCATTCTTTCTTGTAGTGTTTGAAAACTAACAAAGCACTTGTTCTCTCATTTTCAAAAGAGTTTTAAATTTTTCTTGAATGGTACTTGTAAACATTTTTTCTCATTTTCTACCTCTTATGTTTTCCATTGTCACATGGATCTAAATCAGGTCTTTGGATATTGATGATTATTGAGGAGATTCTATTATTAGATTTAACTTTTATTTTAAAGATTTCTTTAAGCTTTTAGAGGTTCACAATGTGTATGGTATTGTGACTGTTTTGACAATTCTAATGGAAAAGAAGGAGGCTCTTCTCTCTAGGTTCAACTTGGTAGTATTTTATGGAAGCCTCCAGATTAGGTGGGAGTTCTTCTTAATCTTCGGACAAACCAACGCTCAAGATACTAATAGGATCAAGGAAATATTCTTGCAGAACATAGACTTTGGAGAAGGATTGTTAGGGGAGGAAGTTTCAAGGTGACTTCGAGTAAATTTTTTGTAAGAGTTCAGTTCAGATATTATGTACGAATCAAGGGATCTTGATAGAAGATTTTTATATTTTTGCATTATCTGGATATTGTGATTGTACTAAAATTCATTAAACTTGTCACAAATAATATTGAAAGATCAAAGTTTTTTATGGCTAAATACCGGAAAATGGATTAAGCTTAGCGAGGACAATAGCTAAACCACTATAAATCCCAGTGTACTCTCTCTCTCTCTCTCTCTCTCTCTCAATCTCTCTCTCTCTCTCTCTCTCTCTCTCTCTCTCTCTCTCTCTCTCTCTCTATCTCTATCTATCTATCTATCTATCTATCTATCTCTCTCTCTCTCTCTATCTCTATCTCTCTCTCTCTATCTATCTATATATATCTCTCTCTCTCCATGTTTTAATCAACATTAAAGCTCAATTATTTATCAGTTCTAAAAAAATCTACCGTACGTAATAAATCGCTACCAACAGAAATGAATGATAAACTACACTTATAATTAATAACCTAAGCATGTAATATCCTACGACAATTAAAATGCAAGAGATAGAGAGAGAGGTTACACCAGGATATATAGTGGTTCAGCTTTATCGTCCTCGTAGGAGCATACTTCACTCTGCAATGGTTTTCCATTGGAATTTGTTTTCTTCCACTATATTTTGACAAATATTATAAGAGGTCATACAACCACAAATCCACAACAATTATGAGAAAGATAAAGCTCATATGTGGATCTTGACTTGTATACCGCGTAATGCCAAACTCTTCTGCAAAATCTTTACTCGATTCTCGCTTCTTGAATCTCCCAACTTCACCAATTTGCTCACAGTATTTGTGTATGGCATTCACCAATTAATCCCACTGATTTCTTGAGTGATGAACTGAATTAAGATGGATAAAAACTCCACCTTGTATCTAGCCTTCCGCACAGTTACTACCAAGATCAACTGGAGAGAAAACCACCTTCTTTTAACTGGAATTTGTAAGCAGTAATGACACCAACCACAATCTTACCAGTTTCTTGAAAATCTTAACAAACTATCCTAGAAAGATTAGTTTCAAGACACGTCTCCCTTAACAATCACAAATCTCCACATCAAGATCTTAATAACAACAATAATAACAATAACAACAATAATAACAATAATAACAATAATAATAATAATAACAACAATAATAACAATAATAACAATAATAATAACAATAACAACAATAATAACAATAATAACAATAACAATAACAATAATAATAACAATAATAATAACAATAATAATAACAATAATAACAATAATAATAATAATAATAATAATAACAACAATAACAACAATAATAACAATAATAATAACAATAATAATAATAACAACAATAATAACAATAATAACAATAACAATAACAATAACAACAATAATAATAATAATAATAACAATAATAATAATAACAATAACAATAATAACAATAACAATAATAACAATAATAATAATAATAATAATAATAATAATAATAATAATAATAACAATAATAATAATAATAATAATAACAATAATAATAATAACAATAATAATAATAATAATAATAATAATAATAACAATAATA